TTTTTCCTCAATCTCTTTCTCAATCACCTCTCCCGTTCCCTCTTGTGATCCTTCAGTTATAGAGTCCTTTAATTGAGGAGACGGCACACTCTCATCATCTACTCCTCCTTCCCATAAGGTCATGTGGCCTGTTTTTTTTTAAGACCTTATGCAAGTTGTGCAGTCCCAGAAACAGCAACTGAAGTATTGTACCCAGGAAACCCTGGGACAGTTACAATAAATTGATTTGATGGTACATGATTATTGTAAGTGTAGCAAGTGTAGCTTGCTGGTAACAAGGTAGTGGGAGAGAGTTGTGAAACAAACACAAAAAGGGAAACAATCGAGTTTTTATTAACACTTGCTGTAGGAGCGGCCACAAGTGGGAAAGAAAAAGAAGTAAGGGACTGTAGAAAATAGAAGGTAGTAGGATCTGATTATAGTTTCCTTGAAACAGGTGTGGTTACTGCTTAATCTCTAAATAGGGAATATGAAGTGTTTCCCAGTATGTTCCCTTCCAGATGGGTTCTAGACTATAACTACCGTAACTTACCATCTGCTGCTACCACTGATCCACTATTTATCTATCTATCTATCTATCTATCTATCTATCTATCTATCTATCTATCTATTTATGAAAGTTAAATAAATTATGGTAAGTCTAAATGTGTGTGAGAGAACATATACAAGAAAAACTGATTTTGTGTCGATTGCTACATCTGTTAAAGGTCTCTCTCTCTCCATGTCCCTAGTCTTCTGCTTTTAAGAGTGCTTTGTGCTTCAACAGCATGTACCAGCAGGTGATGCTGATCTCACTACTCTCCAATGCTTTGCTGATTTCTGCATATCAAGAGCGCAAGAGAGAAGGCAATATAAAGGAGCTTTGTTTGTTCTGAAGAGTATCTGAAAGCTCTCCATCATGGAAAATAGACTATTTAATTTTAGTTAGCAAATGGAATTTCAGGTATTTAAAGCCTAATAAGCCATAGCTGATGAAAAAGGTATGGAAAAGAGGGGGACACAAAAACATTGATAACCAGGAAGAAACCAATACAGCTTATTCCATTGTTTTAGAACCTCTATATGAACATTGGAGATATTTATAATTTTTAAAAAGTACAAGGAAAGGCCAGCAAGGCTAGAATCAATCTCCCCATAGCATTTGAAGAGTTTACCATTTGCCCATCCAAAGTGACTTTCCACTTAAAGGTGTCAAATACATTTTCAAGATTGACCTTGACACTTGTTTGTTTCCTATTTTTGAAAAATCTGCCAGAGAAAATACCAACATACATTCTGACAGGTATGCATCACTCTTTGACTGCCAAGATGTTCATTTCTCTCTTGGGACTCAGAATACATAAACCTCAAGGAAATGTTAATGTGAAGTTGTCTTATCTCATCCTGAGGCAGAAAAAAGAGATCATTCCTTATTACATTCAAACCCCAATGTTGTGATTTGTATTAATCTTTCCCTTCAAGGGTCATTAGCAATTCCCTGATAATGTTTTACTAAATTGCTGGGATTCTGTTTTTTGTTTTTGCAAGAGCAAAACTGCATCAATTTGCAATGCCAGTATTACATTAATTGGCAAGTAAGTATGGAATATAAAGGTATTTTGATTCTTTCCCCATTACTCCTACCATATTTCCCCGAAAATAAGACATGGTCTTATATTAATTTTTGCTCCAAAAAACACATTAGGGCTTATTTTCAGGGCATTTCCCCCCATGTACAACAATCTACATTCATTCAAATACAGGAATGTCATCTTCTTCTGGTTGCTGCACGTTGTTGGAAAGTGGGATTTCACTTAACTGGGGCTTATTTTTGGGGTACGGCTTATATTACAAGCATCTTGAAAAATCATACTAGAACTTATTTTCAGGTTAGGTCTTATTTTTGGGAAAATCTTTTAAATAGTAGGTGGAAATAGTTTATTATTTTCTGTGCCCGAGATGATTCTTCTATCTATCTATCTATCTATCTATCTATCTATCTATCTATCTATCTATCTATCTATCTATCTATCTATCTATCTATCTATCTATCTATCTATCTATCTATCTATCTATCTATCTATCTATCTAATCTGCCACCCACACTACCGAAAGGTCTCTTTTTAATCCATACAAGTAATAAGTACCTGTCTGCCTCTCGGTTTGCTACTGTTATCACATGAAAACTACTAGGCAGATTTTCACCAAATTTGGAGTTCAAGTTTGAGATGTATGTTTGTTTTATGTGAAGTCAAGTCAGAGCTGACTTACAAATAATGATCCTAATAGGGGCTTCAAGATAAGTGATACAATTTAAGGAATGGTTTATCACCCGATACCATGCAGTGAGTTTCCATGACTGAGCAGAGATTTGATCTTAGGTCTCATGAGACCCGTAGTCTGTTACATTTAATACATTACATTAGGTATAATATCAGGTTTAGGTAGTCTGACTTTAAAAATAGGTGTATTGTATACAAAAAGCACTTTGGCCGTTGGGGAAACCTCAGATTCTAACAAATAGGTGCAAGGGTTTTCACCAAATTCGGAAAATATATTTGGAATTGTCTGGCTCAAAACACAGGATATGTGTTGTAGAAAAAAAATCACTCTGGGGGCATTTAAATTATTATTGCCTACACAGTTGTGGTTGCATTCTTTTAAAGATATTCAAACTGAGTTAAGAAATTTACCTATTTTAATTTATGTTGTAATTTTCTGAATGTCCACCTCGTCTTCTTAATATCATCAGATCTTTCCATGAGGGAATGAAAGGCACTGTAGTTTTTGACGGCTCAAGATCAAACCCCCTTGACATCCGAAGTAGAGTGAAAGAGGGCTGTGTCCTCACACCTACACTTTTTGGGATCTTTTTTGCTGTCATGCTGAAGCATTCCTTTGGAACTGCAACCGAGGGTGTCTATCTCCGGACTAGATCAGACGGAAAGCTCTTTAATCTCTCTAGATTGAGAGCAAAGACCAAAGTCCAACTGAAATGCATGCGGGATTTCCTCTTCGCAGATGATGCAGCTATTGTTGCCCACTCTGCTGAAGACCTCCAACAACTCATGAATCGTTTCAGCAAGGCCTGCCAAGACTTTGGACTAACAATCAGCCTGAAGAAAACACAAGTCATGGGCCAGGGCGCGGACTCACCTCCTTCTGTTACCATCTCCACACAAGAATTGGAGGTTGTTCATGACTTTGTGTACCTTGGCTCAACCATCTCTGACACCCTCTCTCTGGATGTTGAGCTGGATAAATGCATTGGCAAAGCAGCCACAATGTTCTCTAGACTCACAAAGAGAGTATGGCTCAATAAGAAGCTGACGACACATACAAAGATCCAGGTCTATAGAGCCTGTGTCCTAAGCACACTCCTGTACTGCAGTGAGTCCCTCTGACGGATTTTTGGTATCACCTGGCAGGACAAAGTTCCAAACAGAATAGTCCTAAAACAAGCTGGAATTTTCAGCATGAATACATTACTGAAACAGCGACGTCTATGTTGGCTTGGGCATGTTGTGAGAATGGCTGATGGTCGGATTCCAAAGGATCTCCTATATGGAGAATTAGTGCAGGGAAAGCGCCCCAGAGGGAGACCACAGCTGCAATACAAGGACATCTGCAAGCGAGATCTGAAGGCCTTAGGAATAGACCTCAACAGATGGGAAACCCTGACATCTGAGCATTCAGCCTGGAGGCACACACTGCATCATGGCCTCTCCCAATTTGAAGAGACCCTTGCCCAGCAGGCTGAGGCAAAGAGGAAGTCACAAAAGCAGCAGAACCAGGGAGCTGGACAGGGGACAGATTGGATTTGTCTTCAGTGTGGAAGGGATTGTCACTCTCGACTTGGCCTCCTCAGCCACACTAGACGCTGTTCCAAGTCCTCCATACAGAGCACGTTACCATAGTCTTTTGAGACTGAAGGATGCCTAACTAACTTTCTGAATGAGGGTGGGGATCCAAATGTTAATTGACTGGGAGCCATACTGGCTGGGGGGATTGATTCTGGGAATTGTAGCTGAATGAATGGTATGTGTGTGAGAGAGGTCAGTATGAAAAGAAAGAAGAGGATAACACAAAAAGAGAGGGAATCAGGGTGATATAAGGACCATAGGATTTTAACCTGGAAAGCTGGGTCCATTGGCTGGTAAATTGTTAAAATGTAATCAGTTAAGTGCCAGAGGGGTTGTCATTCGAAGTGATATAAAACAGCAAGAATGGGATCTTACGTACTGTTATTTCACAGCAATTTCTACTGAACTTTTTTCTGCTTAGGATTAAGCTGCCACATATAATAGAGCATGACTGAATTACTAAGTATCTGTCGGGATTCTCCGGAGTGTTCCCTTGTTATTGTTATGGTCCTTAAATTGTTTCTGATTTACGGCAACTGTACATGTATGAATTAATGACCTTCAGAAGGTCTTAACATTTACAGCCCTGCTCAGATCTTGCAAACTAAAATGCTGTAGTCAGTCAATTGGATGTTTAGCCTTTCCCCTTTCTTTCTGCCTTCCACTTTTCCTTAAAATTACTGTCTTTTTCTAGGAAGCTTCGTCTTCTCATTGTGTCTGAAACAATAGCCTTAGATTATTAATTACAGCTTCAAGTAAGAGTTATTCTCAAATTCTTTGATATACACACACACACATAATGTGCAAAAACGCGCTCTGATCAGCCGGATGATATGGGTATGCCCTCTTGACATTTTCACGGGCACCCCTTTTTCTCCATTTCTATTTTCACATTGTATATGCTCCACAGTGTCCAGAGGGCCGCTGTGTTGAACATGGGGCCCAAGGACAAACTGCTGCCTTCGTTGCAGAGTCCGAAACGCGGCGCGACCCTCCTCAGCGGGTCGAGCCAGGAAATGGGCACAAGCCCTCCGCCTCCCGACACGAGCCAGGAGAGCGCCAAGCCCCGCCCCTCAGCAGAGGGAAGCCTCCCGGGTCGAAATCCCCGCCTCGCGTTAGGCAAGAGGCGGGGACAGGCAACCCCCCCTCTAGGCCAATAGGAAGGCGAGACGAGGGCAAAGTTAAGGAAGGAGCGGATGGATGATGGCGGCTGCGCTGACGGCACCCGTTTGGAGGCAACGGCGGCTCCTGGTGGCCAGTTCGAGCTGGAGCAGGCGGAGATTGTGAGTGACAGTGACGGAAGGAGTTGGCGCCCCCCCTCTCCCCCCATTCCTTCTCCCTCCGCCCCGCCTGGGAAGGGAAGGGGGTCTGTTGCGCGCTATCCGCGGTCTTGCTCCCTTCCGTTCCTTTGATCGACTGCGTGGGATCCCGTCCCGACCTGGGTGAATTGGTCCCGATGGAGAGACGCCACAGGCAGCAGCGCTGCCCTTCGGGAAGGGCGCGGGAATTCCGCCGATTCTGGAGCCATAATTAAGTCCCACTGAGTTCAGAACCTCAGAGTTTGACCCGGTGCAGGATTGCTGGAACTAAAGCTCAACCCGCTCGAGTGGGATTTATTCAAAAACAGTGATTTAGGGATTACTGTGTGTACATAATATCTTGAACATGTATATAATATTTTTCAGGAGTCGGTTGCCCTAGGAATCATTTTTTTAAAAAATATAACAATACATCACCATGTAACTGTAATAATATGTTACATCTGGAGTTCAGAGATTTTGTGATAATGCAGCACTAATTGTTGTAAGCCGCCCAGAGACCTTTGGGTAGGGTGGGCGGCATATAAATTAAATAAATAAATAAATAAATATGTAACTTTAATATGTGATATCTGGGGCTGAAGAGAGAGGCATAAGAGCATTAGTAAAAGCTGAACGAATGCTCAGAATAAATATAAATAAATAGAAATGGGTGTGCATAGTGCTTCCTATTTATTTTGTCCAAATAGGACATTAGCAGAACAGTGCTGGAGTACTGCAGCCTTAACTGATTAATCATCATCCTTCCAATGGGTGTTGCAATTGGCAGCACACAGTCTGAACACCTTCTAGGGAGTCAGCTGTTAAACTCTGCAGAGCTTACTTTCTCTATAAGCTCATTCAGGGTCGTATTCTTAAAAAAAGATAAGCTTCCATCCACTGTTAGAAGGAAAAGTCACATTTAATATTTTATTTTTCAATTCTTTACTATGGCACTGCTGCAGTTCCAGTATTATAAGGGTTCCCTTAGCTGCTATCACATAAAATAAAATGGTTTGGAAATTGTGGTCCTGTGGATGTTTTTGGCCTTCAGCTTTCATTGGCTCTAACTCATACATCCAAAACTGAGAGCTTGTGAGAGCTGCACCAATAATGTCTGGAGAACCAGTGTGACTCTCTCTGTGTCTCTCTGGATTGGCAGAGTGCCATGGGGGAGCTCAGCAATGTGAGATGGGATGGAAGGGTAGTTGAGAAAGGGTGATATTGCTCCAATGTGTCCCTGCTTATGTATTTTAAAATAAGAATTCTATTTCACCCTTCTGAAAAGCTTCCACAGTGCTTTAAAACTCTTTGGACCCTAACAGCCTAAAGATGTTCACAATATAAAGGTTTATTCTCATCCTCCCATCATGCACCTCCTCCTCCTCCCATACAGTTAAAGATGGTCCCATCATCCTTGGGGTGGGCACAGGTAGTGAGGAGAAAGGGACAGGAAGCTTTCCTCTTGGAAAGTTTCTCAAATCAGTTTATCTTGGGAGCTAAGCTATAGAAGGCTACAGACCTTATTTCTGAATACTGTACCATTCTGAGATTTGCAGTCTGTACAGCAGGATCATAGCGGCCTTGGGTACTGACTGATGCAGCTCTGTCCAGCAGAATGGCCTAAATTTGTGGATGAAAGAAAGCCTTGTATCTTGGGACTTTTACAGAGTGGCATTCGGTACAGAGCTGCCCACACTGTATGATGGCTTGGACATCACCAACATAAGTATGTGTGGGTATTACCAAACCACTACTGTTTTGTGATACAATGTGGAGGCCTTTGGGACAAAACTATACTGAATTTAGGGGCACAAGAACATGGACTTTGGCTTTAATGAGTTCTCTGTTTATCATTACTCCTGTAAGTATAACTATTCCAGTGAGAAGATCAAACAGAAGGAAATTGCATTTGTAGTCTGCTATCATTCAAATGATCAGGAACCATAATTTCTGCCTCTTTGGAAAGTTGATGCCTGTGTTGTGTGTTTTCCTCGACTGGACACTGGAGGGTGCTAATGCAACAAAAGCTGAGATATACCGTACGCTAACATGCTTTCTTTGTTAATCAGGAGAAAAGTTTCATTCTTCTTTTGCAATCTTAAAAAAACAAATAACTAAAGAAGGAGTATCCAGTGGCAGTTAAGAAAATACAGTATTGGCAATTGTAATAGTTGTTACAATTCCTTATGAAGTTGAGGCAATTTTTCCTCATTCCAGATTTGTTTTGTTTTATGTTTTGAGTGACTGGACTGTTGTTTTGTACATTTGTTAGAAGCTGTTCTTTAAGATTAAAGTTTTTGTTTCTGATGTGTTTTTTGGCAATACTCATCCCAAATTATTGTGTTTGAATGATTTGCAACACTGTCTTATTTAAATTTACTTTGAATAATATGATGATGGGGATGATGATGTAGAAAGATATGAAAAGAATATTAGGTTGACTCCACTGCAGCTAATTACATTGTTATATTAACCAACGTCAGTCATGGTATTTAAATAATGTTCATTTCTGAGCATCAGCTAGTTTTTCAGAATTTTTTTTTCCAGAATTTGACAAACTTTGATTTCAAGTGAAGTTCTTCTTGAACCTTATGAACAGGGAGTAGTCTCACATATCTGATTTTCCCCCCTCTAGTATTCACTGAATAGGGGAAGATTTTAGATTAATGTTATAATGTAGAGTTTAAGTGGAGTCAGGGAAAGTCAAAGTAATATTATTTCATCTGATGGAGGATGGGAGCTTTAGAGTAACATGAGACCATGCCATACTTTCAGATTCTGATAGTCCCTGTTCTGGTCTTGGGATAAGAGGGATGAACACAGTTCTATTGTTACTAGTACAAGGAGTGGTTATTCTGTTATAAATGTATTGTATGTGCTTATCTATACTGTACTTCATAATCTTCATCAGATGCCATTTTCCTTCTTAATCTAGGAGAGATTACCTGAGATACGATCATTTCTCTAGAAGCTCTCCAACTATTAGAACTCCTCCTTGAGGAAGGTCACGCTGTCTCCTTCCCCAGTGAGTTCTGAACATGGTTTTAAGAAATCTGTTGTTTTGATAGGTCTTTCACATTGCTTTGCATGATCTGAGAAAAAAATATTTATTTCATTGTGATTTGATTGTATTGCACATTTTGTTTGTACATTAAGGGTGTCGGAGCTGACCAGGTTTTCTGCACAAGAACTACTTTTAGCAGAGGAGGACAGTCTCCTCTTTGTACAGAACAGGTCTACACCACAGACTTGAAACAACTTTAAAAGCTCTCTCCTAAGAATAATAGTTCAAGATCAGGAATGAGAAAGGGCTAGAGATCTCCAACAAAAAAACTTCTCAATACCTTCATCAAAATTCCCAGGATTTTTGCACAGAGCACATATCAATTAAACTAGCATATAATTGATGTGCTTTGTATTATTGATGCCTTTTTAAAAAAATACGTATTTTTTCCTTTTGTCTGAAAACCATTTCATCATAGATCAGAAAACATGTGCTTTTTGCTGTTCCTACAATTATTTTGGTAAACAGGTATTCTGCTCTTTCTTTGTATGATTTTGATTACATTTGGAGCTCCTCGTTCCTTTTGTTCATATACTCCTAGGTTCAGTCATTCCCCATTACTGTGTACTTTGGGAAAATCAAAGGGGGTGTATTCTCTCCTCTTCCTCTTTATCTAGGGCACAGATAAATCCCTGATCAGCCAGAGTCAGAGATACCCTATACCGAGATTTATTTCAGAACCCTATGAATTATGTTATATACTGATATCCTTCCTTCGTAAAAAGGTGGCCCAGGATAATAGAACCCAGGGAAGTCTAGTTTGGACAAAGATAAGATATGTCTTTATCTACTAAGTCTGGTCAAAAATGGAATTATTTGTTATCATGTTACTGGGAAGACATTTGAGGTCTTTCTTCTTCCTGTTTCCATTTGTAGATGAACTGTTAAACTATAATGAAAGAACAGCTCAGCTGGTCATCACATAAGTAAATGCCTTGTATTTCATTCTTTTATTTTAATGGCATAAAAAATGGTTAGCCATGTGAAGTCTCTTCCGCAGTGGAAAGGAAGTGATGAAACTCTGAAGAATTTGGGACACGTTGAGACGATTTTCCAAAATTTAATGTACTCATTGTAGTTAAACAGTTAACAGAGACATTTTATATTGAGCTTTCAGGTGACCTAATTTCCCCTAGTACTGTACATTTAGCTTTATACATCTGCACCTAATTTGTAAAACAGACTTAATGAGAAACTTCAAACAGTTTAAACATCAATTACAAAGAGGGCAAGGTTTTAAAGTTCCAGTAATCTGTCCATATTGGTCATTGAAACATGATCCCAGCTGGATATAATTCAAGACAGATGTCATTCCAAAGCCTTGAAAATAAGAACCTTATATGCGATTGACACTAACAAGCTGTTATGCTAGATTGAAGGTACCATTGGTTTGCTGCGCAAGACTACAATTATGGCTTTTGTCTAACATGGACTTAATTGTACTGAAAGTGTTTTTAAAGATTTTCTGCTCTTCAAAAATGCAGCTTTTAAAAAACAAAAAAACACAAAGCACTACCCAAATGAAAAGGTTATGTCATATAATAGCTTATGAGGTTAGATTATTAATAGTGATGGTGTCCCATTGCTTTGAAGACTTGATCATATGGCAAGTTGCAGCAGCAAATAAAGTGTCTAGAATAGAGCAGACAATGGCATTATATGTTCATGAACAGATCTCATGAATGAGGTTTCATTTACTTGCCAGAGTTTGAATACCTGCCCTTGCAAAATGCTACCACACTGGCATTGATCCATGGTGTTTGGAAATAGCACCTTGGTTTAACAAGCTGAGATGCACAAATGAATGTCTTTTGCCTGTGTGATGCACACTTACAGATGGATTACACATTCAGTTCCCTGCCTTCTTGGAATGCCACAGATAACCCTAGAAGTCATTGGCTAATCATAGTTCCTGACT